TATACAAGTTTCACTTTTTAAATGGAATTACTGAAATCAATCTACTTTTTCATGATATTCTAATTTTATGACCAGCACCTGTAATTGGAGTACAAATCTTTGGCCAAGAAAACTTTATACTTCTGTATCGCCTACTTCTGGTCAAAGACCTTTTTTTCCTGAAATCAATCTATAGAGCTATAAGAAGAATTTTTTTTTTCTTTCCCTTGTACCTTGGGTCATTGTGTGTGCTTTTTTTTTCTTTTCTTTTTGATCTAACCTCAGCTGACCTCGCAGTGAGTGGACAGTCGGGAAAAAGGAAGCAGATCTTCATTCCGTACAGGGACTCTGTGCTTACATGGTTACTGAAAGACAGCCTTGGTGGAAACTCAATAACTACAATTGTAGCAAGTATGTGTTATGAAGACCTTTCAGCTGTATGTCAGCAGTCTGTGTCCTTTTTTTTTTAATGCCTTATTGTAAATGCAGTAATGTAATATTTGATATGACTCTTCATGAGCCACTTTTCATTCCTGCACGGTAACTTCTCATGGCAGCCATTTCTCCTGCGGACGTGAACTACGAGGAGACCCTAAGCACACTGCGCTTCGCCAGCCGGGCTAAGAACATAATGACCACCCCAACAGTAAATGAAGATGGCAGCACCAAGGTGATAAGAGAGCTGCAGGCTGAGGTCACGAGGCTCCGATCGCTTCTAGCTGAAGCTGCTCAGGTGCGTTATTTCTTTAGTTTTTCTTTTATAGGAGAAAAAAAAACCAAGATAAAATGTAGTGTAAGCCTTTAATTGGTTTTCACCAAATGTAAAGGTATTTGATGGGGATTGGTGTGCCACTGTGAAGGAAGGGGAAATGAGAAACCAGGTGAGTCAGAGGGAAAGAGAACAGATTTTCGGGTAACTATTTAAATATTATAAAGGTTATTTCTGCTGCTTCCACCAGGTTGAACCACTCACCAAAAAGTGGAGCACTAAGTGGAGGGATGCTCAGGATGTTCTGGAGGTACTAAAATTATTGACAGTTTAATGTTTTAACTTGAGCATCTGCTTGCAATAATTATGGTGCCATTTTGACTGTGTATGAATGAAATGACAGTTTCTTTTTTTATGTAAGCATCTCTAAATTCATATGTTTTTTTAGTGATTTGTCTTTCATCCTTAAATCACCCAATTTAAGTCATAATTGAACTAGCAGTCTTGTTAGGCTATTTGAACTTTTATGACTGCTTGTAGTTACAAGCTCTAGCCAGCAGGTGTCACTGTGAGCCCTTTAAATAGTCCCGGCATGCATGGGTCAGTTGGCCATTCAGTTAGATTTTTTTTTTTTTTTTTTACCCCCTTTAAATATCTGGATTTAAATGAAATCCAAGAGCAAACTTTTTGAGCTAATTGTTGGATATTATGTATTTGGGAAGTTTGTAAGAGGAGTTTAAAACAAACTGCATGTCTTCCCTTTAGGCAGGGACAGAATGGTATCATCCTCAAAACATCCTAAGGTTTCACAACACAGAGCCACTGCCGCCAGCTCTGAATTTACGCTGAACTCTTTTTCTTCAGATACATTTTTGCCCAGCTCCTCAACTAACACCAAATGTCACTTTTTGGAACTAGCTGTATTCAGCCATGTCGCTTGTTACATTATGCATCAAACTGAAGTGTGCCAGCAACTCAGTGAAAAGTAAGACAGACTTCTCCATCAGATTTCAAACTGTTATGAAAGTCCTGCTAAAGTTAAAATTGAGCCATCTGAAAACTTTTTAACAGCTTGATTTTAGTTACCTCCTGCTTTTAGAATCAAATATAGGAGAGATGGTGAAGTTGATTATGTTGTGCAGACTTGTGCATATGTTGTTTATATGTGGATGTTGGATAATTAGCAGGTGACTTTTAGTGGCTTGACAGTCCTGACTCATTTGCTGCTTTCTCTTCACCTAATTGAATGATCTTGAAGATTGATACATGGCCCTTTGATTGTAGAATGTCTTGCATATAAATTAAAGTGCTATAAATGTTTGCATGATCATGTAGTTTGAACCAGCCTCAAAGAATTAGGATATGCTGTATTTTACTGACAGTGACAGTTTATTATGCATGATTCCGTTTTACATCCAGGCAAAAGTGCTGATGACCACTAGACCCAGAGATGTTGCAGGATCTCCAAGTTTAATTGAAGACTAAATAGATTTAATATTTCTTCATATAGATTTGCATTCAGGTATTTTCAAAAAATATGTTGCCTTTTTGTAAAAAAAAAAAAAAGTGATAAGTGCTTAAAATAGGCTCCTACGCACCTTTTTTAACTTTAAGGTGTTGTATCCAAAAAAGTCTTAATATCCTCCTGGATATTACCTTTAATTCTTATACAAAATATATGGCTAAGAGCTATCCCATCTGAAACAAAATCACTAGTTTCACAATTATTTTTGAGCTCAAGAATCCTTTTGATTAAACCCTTTAAAGTATATGAAACAAAAGTGGACACAAACACTTAGAAATAATCTGTATCTATGTACTTCTAGTTGGTAAGAAATTAACTTTTGGTTTCCCTTGGGCAGGGGCATATGACCTCACTCAATGCTATTCTTCCTCTACTGCTACCGGCTATAGGGCTGGATAAAGTCAGGATGTTGGAAATGATTGAGGAGTCCAACCAAAGACGGATGCACTGGGTTCAAATGTTCCCTATCAAGAACAGTGGTTCCCAACACCATTCTCAGGTTTCATTTGTTTCCATGTTGCATCACAACAGAAAGAATGGATAATTACCAGGTTTCTGCAGCACTTGATTGCACAGGAAGAGCTCTAGTTTGAATCAAGTGGGCAGAACAGAGATTTATCTACAACATACAGGGCAGGGGTCCCTGAGGAACAGGGCTGGGAACCATTGATCTTTAGTATCCCTTAAAAAACACTTAGTTGCACGACAGGGAGCGTTAGGAAACCCTTGCAGTATGTTAGCAATTAGTAAAAACATCAAGGCTTCACGGTATTGCAAAATGTCTGTATAGGTAGCCATCGTAGATAGACTTCTTTAACAGATGTGCAATGCACACCTTGAGAACTATGTGACAATCAGAATGGTCAAAGGGCCCTTATACTTGCTCCATCTTAGTGAAACGTTAAACTAAGTGGTATACTATTGTCAAAGGATTCTTTACTGCAATGGGAAAAAAAACATAAGGCTTTCACATACCTTTGTCAGGGGCTACAATCTTTCATATAAGAGATTACTCTTTGTTTTAAAATATTCCATCTGAGTGTGAATGTTAGGATGTCCTATGCTAAGTTTAGTTTTCCATATGAACAGCATAGTCCTAGCTTCAATTTTGTGTAATTCAGGTGAAGCCGTTGTCACAAGTAAAAGGATTTCTGAGCACTTATGAATAAAGTTGACCAAAAGCATTGTAAACTGAGTTTTGCATTTTGTATTCAAAGCAGATTTGAAATGCAAAGTTATTCAGCGTCAGCTTCCAAAGATTGGTTACAGGGCATGTGGCAAAGAGAAAGCAATTAATATGAGAGAGATTTCAGAGCAGCCTCTTACCAGTCAGAGGCAGTAACAGATTGGGAGAACAAAACAGAAAGCAAGGAGGGTAAAGTAAAATCATGTTCTACTGCCGGCTTATACATCGGTATATTTGTAATTGAGATACACACATTGCTACATATTAAGGCTGTTTTATATTAAGAGTTGATTCTACTTCTTGCAGCGATGCTCTCAGGTCCCTTTGTAATGCAATGTGGGAGGATCCTCCATTTCTGTAAGATAAATGAACCAAAACCTTTCTTTGATCTTGGTGTTCATTGCATTTTCAAACAGCTAAAATCAGCACAACTTAAACTTTCAATGCTTTGAGCCTTCCCCTGGTTTATGTCAATTTGAACCACAGTGTCAGCAGTTTTACATCATGGTCTTTATAGCATTTCGTAATGTTTGCATGTTATTTCACTTTATCAGGATTACTGGTTTTCTCTCACGGGAGGTTAGTCTAGCCAATCTTAAATCTGCTCTTAATTTGATTAGAAAATCTGATTGCCTATAAAAAAGAACATGCCTATAAGCATTTAAATTTAATTTAGCTGGCCCAAAGTTCAATAGAAAGTTTCATTGCACACACTTTATCTAAATTATTAATCGATTTGTCATACCAATCACTTTTGAAATTTCAATGGATCTTATCCATAGATATGCTGACATCTGGTCAGGGGCATGGCTAGATGTGTGTGTGTGTGTGTGTGTGGGGGGGGGGCTTTGACTTAGACTCATTGGCTACAAAGTAATTTGTTGTTTACATGTAGATGTAATTCAACCTGGAAATGAGCAGTTCCTCTATAAACCAGACAGTGGCAGCATTGACTTTAATTGTTAGTATTAATTGTGAGTATTAACCATAAACTTCCAAAAAATAAAATAAACCTAATATACTTTAAATTAATATATTGACATTATAGATGACAAATGTAGAATTAATCCTTTTTTCAGGATTATTCTTGTGTGGGATTTGGAGTCACATGTGGTTGAAGTTTGAGAGGAGTAAAAACTAAAACTTTCTAAATGTATGTATTAATGTACATGTATATTAATTTTATGTAGTTATTTAACATGTGTATGCAATAGCATTAGGTGAGCATCTTGCAAAGATTGGCATGTTGGACAACCCATTCATGATTGAACCGGAACTTAAGGCTGAAAGATTGTCTGCTATATCTTAATTAAGACAGCATACCGGTATATGCGTATATGTCTATCAAGGGCTTTAGAAGAATCTAGTTTTACTTCTGTGATTTCATTGGAAATATAAATTTTCCTGTAGGTACATTGCAATCAGTGCAGATTGACCCTGAAATCGTTCAACACATTTTTTGCCACCCCTCAGTGCACTCTGCCCCTTCCTGGCCACGTCTCTGCTTTTGGCAGATAGTATTTCATATTGTTGTTATCCTTATCTTACAAGACCATATCTGTAATAATTTGAACGGGCCTGGAAAATGGGAATATTTATGCAACAAAAGATTGCCAGTATTTTTATCATAGCTTTGCTCACCTGTGGAAAATGTTTATTAAAATAATTATAAGTTATTATAAATATAGATTTTATTGGACACAATATGAAAAGGTACTAACGGGCAGTGGTAACAGAACATTTTCTTCCTTAATATAAGAAATATTTATGTAACTGACAACCTACAGGGTAAATCTTAGACCAGAGCAACTCTTCTTTGCTCATGGAAAATGCTATGCAGCTAAAAGCTTAGTTGAACCCACTGGCAAGACCCTATTTACACAAAGACTTTGCGTTCAACAACATATTACAGACTGGGGTTTACAGTCTTTCAAAACTTGCATCTTTAACTTTAGATGTACATGCAGTTAGCTTTAGATATTGATTTGTGGTTTGTTTTCTTTGATCTGTAAATATTTAAATAGTTTAAACATAAAAATATTAAAAGCTTAATTTCTTTCTGTACGTTGTGAAATGTAATTACTAAGCTGGAGTACAAAATCATTTATGCTCATAGTTTTGGTGCAGCTGCAGAAATATTCTGGCCAAAGAAATCCCAGAAATGCTTTCCTCCATTTTTGTCCCAAGTTTAATTACATGCTGGTGGCTGGATTGAAATTTCAAGCTAATTTCACAGCAGTTTATTTTACCATCAGGCGCATAGGTTTCTGGTTGAAATTCTGCTCTTGCATGTTACAAACTAATGAAAAGGAGCATGAAAAAGGAACGACTGTTAACAAGGTGGCAGTTCTTTAACGCAAGTATATAATCAATCACTGCAAGCAAAAGACCTAGTCACTTTGAAAGCTGGTCACGTAATTGCTCTCTCTTTTATGTAGAAGCCCTTTTAACATTTATAAAGACAAGCAATCTGGGATATTAATACAATTCGTTTTAGGAAATTAACCTTTTAATGTGACACAGCAATTTAAGCATGAAGGTGTTTCCATTGTTCAGGATTCTGTATTATTTTGTTCTCTTGGCAGATTGTTCTACTTGATAAAGTTAATAGTCAGGAGATTTAGCCAGCTTAGTGCTGTGCTGTTTTGAAATGCACTTTGCAGTTCCAAAAGGTCGAAAAAGAATTCAATTAAAATTCTAGCCAAATGCAAAATGATGGCTTTTGATAGAAGCCTAAGAGCTCAGAGTCTGGCTGCTGGTCCAGGCCATCTTTAATTACAGTATGCTCACCAGCTGCTTCAGTCTGAAAGCAAAAATATTTCCCTTTTATTTTGATCATGCAACTTTTACTATATTGGTAAACCATTGTTTTTTAGAATGAATTTTGGTAGATATCATCTGTTCCTTGGGTCTAAAGGAAAGTGACATACTGCATTAAACTGCCAGGCTGCTCTACACCTCTAATGAAGGCTGTGAAAAATCCCTTTTAATTAAGTACAAGGGGCTGTGGTCGATGCCTCTCCCTCTTCATTAGAAAAAAGGATTTCTCCCGTCTCACAACTGCCAATGGATGAGGAGGTGCTGGTGGTTGGCACGTCTCTCTCTTTACAGTCTAATCTATAGAACAGAGTGGGTGGGGGGAGGTTAAAGGCAGGGAAGATCAGTTTATGCAAAGCATATTCTCTGTATTGGATGACATTTTTTTGCTCGGCCTCTCGAAGTGTCTTTTATTGTGATCCAAAATGATGTGAGGCGTTTCTCCATCAGCTAAATCAGTGCTACTTCTGATCCCAGCCCTCGTACATTGGAAGACTTTTGACTGAAGATCAGCAATTGCTCTTTGGAGGTTACCTTTCCCTAAACACTTGCTTGAAGACTTCTCTCTTCATTATAGCTTGTATTGTTTAAGCCTTCACTTCACATCAGGGTTAACAATTTTGCCTGATTCCAAATTCAACTGCTTAAAAGTCTTTGGTCTAAAACATAATAGGTCTTTTGTAGTTGGGGGGGATTAAAAAATAAATGCGGCCCTTTTTCAACTACATGATTTGTAACTTGTGCATCCCATTTTCACAGCAACAATAGCTGAAGGCAAATATTTAGTCCAAGCAGATCAGATGGTTTTAGTTTTGCTCTCTCCAGAAAACTTTAGAGGAATTGAAACGGTCAATGTCATAAGTGCTGTCTGATGTGGAAATGCTAAAAATAAAGAGACATCGTTTGAAAAATACTTTGTAAATCTGAAATGTTTGGCAAATTATGTTGAACTGTGATCTAATTGACTGATTTTTTTTTTTTTTTTTGCCATTTAAAAAGGCTCTTTTATCCTTTGTTCAAAACAGAACTAGGTTGGATTAGTAAAAGTTTAGAATTAAACTGCAGTGAAACCTTTACAGCTTCTATCTTGGTAGTGCTGGATCTCAGGGCTGCAGTTGGTCATAACATACAGAGACAGACAGTAGGTTTTGCCTGATACTGTTCTTAACTGATTCATATCATGGTTCATCCTCTAGAAGGGCTTTGACATTGGCAATCATAAATCCTGACAAAAAAATATGACTTGGTCCTCTACTTAAAACTTTGAGTGTTAAAGCATCTCTTACCACCCACATGTTGATGAGAACTCTATATAGTAGTGATCACATTATCCAAGTGAGTTACCAAGTAATCTAACCTCCTGAGGGTTTTTGTTCCCAAATGCATGCAACTTAGGTTATATTTGGATTCTTTCTGTATAATGCATTTGAGCTTTAATTATTCACATTTCTGGCAGATTTTGATTTTGGACTTTATAGCAATCTTGAAGATTTATGGTTTAATTGTAAATTATCTTTTATCTTAGTGTTTTGTTCTTTCATGTAGCTTTTTCTTAACCTTGGTAGCAAAGATGATAACTGACATTTATAGCGAATTTAAGGTTTTAAAAATCGAAGTACAACCCTTTTAACCCTTACAACCATTTGAATTGTGCTTTGTGATTGAAGGTTAAACACGCCCCACCTTTCCTTGTAATCAAAACTATTACTGTTTTTCAAAATTTCTTTCTGTTTATCATACAATAACATTCTCTTTGCTTTAATGGATTTATTTTTTCAGTAACAGAATACAACAAAATGACATGAAAAATGAATAAAGCCAAAGTTTGTTGCTATAGTTTGAAGCTGACTTACTTTCTATATGGTATTTTAACAGTAACATGCAGCATCCAAAGCAATGTACCAATAAAGGCAATAGAGCATGGCGTATAACCTGTGTGTGAGGACAGGCTGCGGAATTGTGTCGGTCTCACTCACTGAACACAATATACAGTTTGACTTTCGGCGCCATAATCTGAATGATTTATGTCATCTCTTTTGCCGTTAGCCTCTCTTCTGCTTCATGGTGACACATGGCTGGAACCCTGATATTCTGCTTGGCCTTCAGGCGACGAAGAGCAGTCATAAAAAATTCTGTTTTCTGCCAGTTGCCATTAAATGTCTGTCAGCGTTTTTATTGTGTAACATTTCAGCTAAAGGCTACTGAATGGATTTGTTTTTCTTTGGGTGTGTTCCCACAGGAGAAAAGTGTGGCTCTGAGAAAAGAGGGGAGTGGGGTCATCTTGGACTGCCAGTTACCTCATCTGATAGGCATCAACGAAGACCTGCTCACCACAGGAATCATCCTCTATTATTTGAATGTGAATAGATTCCACTTTTTTTTTTTTTTTTTTTTAAAGAAAACTATTTCAAGAGGATATACAAATACTGAGGCGAATAAAGGGAACATGTAAACGACACAATGACTTCAATTAACTCAAACCTCTGTGAAATTAAACTGTCCACATGGGAAGCAACAGTAATTGACAATCAATTTCTCATGCTGTTGTGCAAATGCAATAGACAAAGTGTGTAAATTATTGGCAATTAGTAAGACACACTCAGTGTGTCTTACTAATTGCTGACCTCAGACCACTTCTCAATACCTATGCTTTCTGGCTGATGTTCCAGGCAATGTTGAATGTTGGTGGTGCTTTCACACAAAGTGGCTCAGGTTGTGCAGCTGATCCAGGATGGTACAACAAGCTGTGGCAAGATTTACTGCCTGTCAGCATAGACGGCAAGAACAGGATGAGCACTGCTGGAGCCCTGCAAATTGACCTCCGGCCTGCCACAGATGTGCATGTCTGCACAGACTGTTAGAAACCGACTCCAAGAGGATGGTATGAGAGCCTGACGTCCACAGATTGGGGTTGTGCTCACAGCCCAACACCATGCAGGACACTTGGCATTTGCCAGACAACACCAGGATTGGCAAATTCACCACTAGTGCCCTGTGCTCCTCACAGACGAAGGCAGGTTCACACTGAGCACAAGTGTCAGACATGAGAGTTTCGAGACACCATGGAGAGCGATCTGCTGCCTGGAACATCCTTCAGCATGACCGGTTCGGCAGTGGGTCATTAATTGGTTGGGGTGGCATTTCTTTGGAGGGCTGCACAGCCGTCCATGTGCTCCCCAGAGGTAGCATGACTGCCATTGGGTACAAGGATGAGATCCTGAGTCTCCTTGTAAGACCATATGCTCTGGTGGTTGGCCCTGAGTTTCTCCCAATGCAGGACACTGCTAGACCTCATGTGGCTGGAGTTTGTCAGCAGTTCCTCCAAGATGAAGGCATTGAAGATGAAGGACTGGCCCACCCGTTCCCCAGACCTGAATCTGAATGAGCGCATCATGTGATATGTCTCGATCCATCCTCTGTCATGTTGCACCACAGACTGTTCAGGAGTTAGCGGATGCTTTATTCAAGTACTGGGAGAAGAATCCTCAGGAAACCATCTAGCATCTCACCAGGAGCATGCACATGCATTGCAGAGAGATCATACAGGCAGGTGGAGGCCACACACAATACTGAGCCTCATTTTGACCGGTTTTAAAGACATTACATCAATGTTGGATCAGCATTTACTGTAGTTTCCACTTTGTGTGTCAATCCAAATCCAAGCCTCCATTGGTTAATGCATTTGATTTCCATTGATGGCTCTTGTGATTTTTGTTGTTGGCACATTATACAAGTATCATCTTGTTACTCTATAGGAAGGCAGAACCTTGATTGGAAGTGATGAAGCCCTATGCAGTCAGGGTATCGGTGAGTGAAAGCCCCCATACTAAAATTGCTTTGCCATATTTTTTGCTGCTGTAGCATCAACGCTTTCTAAAACTGTCTTCTAGTGCTTTCTGGACCTGAACTCCTTCGTGAACATTGCCTGCTTGAGAACTGTGCTGGGATTGTTACTCTGCTCCCTCAGGATGGCGCACTGTGTTCAGTTAACGGCTCTGTGGTCACACATCCCTGCCAGCTGAATCAGGGTAAGCATTTATGCTAAACCTAATTTTCCTCCTGATATTCTTGCATAAATATGAGGAGTGGAGGGGGCAAAGCACGACTATAATAATGAAGATTTTTCTCCCAAATTTGCAATTATTTGGCTTGTTGCAGTCAATAACCCTTTTATCTGTTTTGAGTGTGGTGAAATGACATCACTGGATCTCATCTGCAAATGAAATCCACTTTGTGTCGCTGGCTTCCCCATGGAAACACACTTAAGGCATGAGTGGATTGTGAACACTGCTCTTCACAGGGCAGATGCCATTTCTCTTACTAAACATTTTGGAGGGCGAGGGGCCCTGGACAAAGCTCTAGACAAAGCCTGAAGCCCTCAATTTAATTGGCAGATGGAGTTGATAGGGCCAACAGGTTTTGAAATGGGCCAGAGCATTAACCTTTCAAAGGATAGAGGAGAGTCTAGTTAAAACTCTGCACCCCCCCCATCCCTTGGCTCTGTTTGTCAAGGCTGGGAGCTTGAACTGCTTCCTGACTCTTCAACAATATTGCTTTGGTTTTCATGAGATAAAAGCTGCACACTGAACCAGCCAGAGTGTAGCCCAGCTATTGCTTTCTATTTTTTTTTTTTTTTTTTTTTTTTTTTTTTTTTTTTTGTAACCTTTTCAATTTATCCAATATTCCTTTCAGAAATGGCTGCATCTAAAGCCATTTTCTTGAACAAATGATAGTAATTTTCTGTCCAGCAGCAGCTGGAATCTATCACAGGCTGTTCTCAGGTGCTTTGTCAATCGTCAGAAGTCATTAGTAGTTGCAGGATTTGCTGTACAGAGAGTAGTGGAGGAGGAAGAAACCTAGTGAAAATCTGTGGATATGGCCGTATGAATGCAGCTCTGATATATAAAGCCTTATATCACCTAAATTCTTCCAAGTTACAATACTTGGAGGCTTCCATGGATCCTTTCTGCTGATAAATTATAGGCCTACTGTTGGTTAAGGCCACTGTCGATCACGTGATGGGATTATGTTCCTCATTGCAACAGATTCATTTTCTTCAGTAACAAATCCAGTTGAGGGAAAAACTCAAATACCAAATATGTTTTCAAACCTTAGTGTGTAGATAAGTTTCTGTAACAGTCATTGAAAGCTTTCTCCTGGGCCATCTCTCTGCTGTTTTATGCATAATGAATACTGCAGATGGAACCCTTTCATTTCCATTTAGGGAAATCATATTAGCAGTGCTTAATCCAGCTTTTAGAGATGCATTCATAATGAATTACAAAATTCAAGATCACAAGTCCAGGCTATGATTGATTCCAGCTGCTTTTAGACTATAATTTTGTATTCTTTTGACTTTTCACGCTTTACTTATTTGGTTCCCTTTAGGTGCAATTATACAGCTAGGAAGAGGACCCATACTGCGGTTTAACCACCCAGCTGAAGCCTCACAGCTGAAAAAGAAACAGCAGGTACAGTCAGTACCCCAAACATCCACAAATAAGCCCAAGCTGCTTTCTGTATTACTCATTTCTGTCAAAGTCTTTCAGAGAAATTGATGTGTAATCTTTGTTTTCAAATCTTAATTTATATAAAGAAAGTAGACATTTGCGCTGTTGCCATAACTACCAGTTGAAAGCCTGCCACCTACAGTAGAGTTAATAGTGTTGACACTGTTAACTCTTCATGAGAAGCTACAGTGCCATCCATGTGGCTTTCTGTCATCTTCCTAGTTTCAACTTTGTTTTTATTACCTTGCAACAATGCAATTACAATATATGCTACTGCAGAATGGATTTTGCTTGTTACAAAATGTTTGTTTACAAATATAAGGGCCCATGTTCAAAATTTGCTTAGCTAAATGTTTTCCCCCTTAGGTACTGTTTTGGTTTTTCGGGCATCCACACAAAGAAGCTGGATGCTTATATCTGTTAGGGCAGTTTTGCACTATTGAAAGGATTCCTCCAAATCAATTTCCATAGCATTTGTTTCTTTTGTCTTGTCATGGAAAAAAAAAGAAAAAAAGTTACACCTTTTTTTTTTCTGATTTAGGCCACAAGACAAAAATCAATTACTATAAAAAACGATTTTGAATTTTGGCAAACTATAACCCTTATTAACTTTTTTAATGTCTATGAATCACAAGATAAAAATAAAGGGTCATATATTTTAAAATGCACATGGAGGAACTCCTACAATATTTTGACATTTTTCTAAATGTTATATAATTCAGATTCTGTGAATCTGCCAGGAGTATTGATGATTTAGAGTATATACCAAAAGCAAGGCGTTGTATAATTTAATTCCACCATAGACAGTTGTCAGTTATTTCAAACTGTGGGACAGCTTTTTATTCTAGTTGTCTCTTGTCTTTCACCTGCAGAGTGGATTGCTGTCTGCCTCCTCCTCGTCTTTGACTGACTCCTCCAAATCTGCAGAGAATCTATCCAAGGCAAAACTGCAAATCTCAGGGTAAAACATGCAGTGCACTGGCATCCTGTAAAACTCTTCACTTTGCCCCCCCTCAGTCTGCACAATACCTACTCACTGAGCAGTGTTCATCAGGTATGTGCATCAAATCAGAACCATAAATCAAGGCGGTATTATTCTAACAGGAAGGGGGGGACATGCAAAAGGTCTTTGTTCAATGCTTCATGCTGAGCAAGGGTCATCAACTGAGAGCAAGTTCAAGGCTTGCATTTGGTTCAGTATTGAACAGCACAATTTGATATTTTACAGAATCGACACAGAGCACCAAAATACAGTATCTTTGCATTTGACTATGGACACTTTTAGTTGTTAAGACTTTTAGACGTCTCAAAATGTCTTATAGTGACAAAAATTGAATTTTTACCTTATTATTCATGAAGTATGTATGTTCTTTTTTGGGTAATTTCAGTCCAATCTCCTATAGCTACCCTTTAAGCCCCCCATCCCTATTGAACTGAAATAACTTTCCTATCAAAATGTCTGACTGATCTGAACCAGTTTTAAGAATATATCTGCCATAAATGCATAAAATCAAACCTGAAAACCTGGAAGCTTTTTAAAATGCCAAAGGTTTTTAGTGTTTTGATAAAGGGTTTGTAATGCAGTCCTGTGGTTTAAACAGAACAAGCAGTGTGTGTTTTGAAAATTGTGATTTTCTTTGAAAATCTAAAAAGCTTTTTAAATTCTTTCTTAAGCATACTCTACTTTAAATATTTGCATACCAAACATTTCAAATAACAAAATTGACCCCTGTCGAGGTTTATTTTTGCTGTATGATAATGAGCCAATATCTAGAGCCCAGGCTGCAGATTTTATAAGGTCTATATCATGTAAAATTAATTTGAGCATTTTTTTTGCTATGTTAGGTTATTCTTTTATCGAAATCATGCCCATAGTGGTATTTCCCTTGAATTATGAATGTCTCTGTAATCCTTGTGGGTTCTGCTCTCTCTGTGCTGAGAAAATTAGTTGCTCTCACCTTTAGTTTTTTGCTCTGTTATTATCTGCCCCCTCCAGAAGGTGCCCACCTCCCTGCCTAGTAAACAATAGGCCCACTTAATCCAATCAGTCAGAACTGACGTGAGACAGAGTAGTCCAGCCTTTTTAAAGAACAGCCAAACTACCAAAAGTTGCGCGACTCTGTCCTGAAGGGGCTTTTAGGTAATTTTATTGAAATGGATAGGGTTTACACCAGAAGAGACTAATGTTGTAGTGAAGGAAATTGTTTTTCTTCTAGGTTGGGGCAACAAGCCACCAGAAAACAACTCTTTTGAATGCATAAAAGCATGAATATAGAACCTTTAAATAAACGTATCAAATAGTTGGTAATTTCATCACAATTTTCATGTTAGAAAAAACTATATTTAGTTTATCAAATGTCAAATGGTATGGATCTTTCTTTTATGGACCTCTGCAAAGTATCCTGATTTCCCTTTTGACATGGAGCATGCACTGTATTCATAAAATATCAGCCTCAAAACCAAGGTAGTTTTTATTTAGAAACTTAGAATTCTATGTTAATTCTCTCTCATTCTCGAACACATGTACCATCACAAATACAAGCTGAAACTTGTCTGATTGCAACATTTAAGAAAACCTTGCTCCATTACTGATCTGTGTCTATGATGGTTTGCTAACTTTCTGTTCATTACAACAAAGTACAACAAAGTGGGACTTAAGTGTCTGATAACAATACTCTTTATATCATCTGGTTAATTAACTCTAATGTATGGAAACCTGCCTACTTCACATTCTTTTTTTCCCTCTACACCTTAAAAGTTTACTCAGAATTTTCATGACATTTGGATGGAAACATGGTTACAAGCAATCCCTGCACTGGATGCAACCAAATGCAGAGCTTAGTAGTTTTAGGAGGCAGCTGAATCAGTCCTTAAAGCTGTGGATGATTTGATAAATGGTCGATATGGGTGCACTCTTTCTAGCAGATGTCCTTTTTCCTTGGATGCAACGGTAATTTAAATAAGGCTCACTTTCAAAGACTACTTCCTTTCAAAAGCATCAATTCCTTTTCCCCACATCCGCTAACTTCTCGTAAATTTTCATTAACATTGCCATTGATTTTAGCTTTTTGTCTGATTGCTCTTAAAAGCCACATTGAAGATATGGCCTGTTCAGGAAAATGTGCCACTTTAAAACTTAAGCAATAATGTTTTTTCCACATGCATCATTTGATAGTTTATACAAATTTGTCACTGTAGTTGTTTTAGGTTTGTTTGTTCTTCTCAAAGCATTTGACTCCTTTGCCAATCCGTATCGATCCTCAGGTCTTATAGTCTTGATGAAATGATAAACGGAAACATACAGATAAAAATCCCCATTAAAAAGTATGATCCAACCTTTTTATGTGATTATATGAAGTAGCCTGACAGTTTGAATACCCTGAGATGTAAATTTAATCTTAGAATACTTATGCTTTATAGGGTTTTCTTTGTACATCATTTAAAAAAAAAAGGATCAGTTTATTTTTACAGCGCATTACGTCCCTTGAGCTTTGATTAAAAACTGTCAATAACACGTTTTAATGTTGGATCTGAATAGTACATGAGTTTGGGTTAATTGTATCACTAGCTGCAGCCGTTATTTCTATTCACATCAGTGGTATTCTGTGACATCTTTATGCCATGGCCTTGTGTGACAATTCCTTGATCTGCCACTGTTCAGTGAATTAGTGTCCCCAATACTCTTGTCAGTGATTCACCACTGCCTGAGGTAGTGAGCAATTTGAATCCCCTTCCCTGGCCTTTCTTGATCTGCTAAACTTGATGTTTTACAGCACATGAAGCAGTTTGATGTGTAATTTCCTTTACACTGCATCAACCTCCACTAGAACCGTGAACCTTCTGCTGGTTTGATTAATAAAGCTTTCACTCAGACACCTGGAGTTCTCTTTTACCCCTCGGTTAGATTTAGATCTAAATGGTTAATCATCTCAATGTTGGTTACTGCAAGGAAGCCATTATGGTGATTTGCAAAAGTATTCACACTCCTTAAAATGCTTTTACCACAGCTACAAAATATGTGGAATTTAATGTTGTGGACCACTTTGTGGCGCTTGTTCATTAAGTCTAAGAAAGTTAAAATCATTTTCTTAAAACTACAAGAATATGGCAGCTTTTCACATACATTGTTGTTAATTCTTCTTTGAAAATACTGTATCTCAATAACAGACAGATGAAGAGTACTTGTCAACGTCAGTTGTCTAATCTTTCCACAGAAAACCTTCTAAATGTTTGCCATATTTCCTACAAGATACCCAAAGCTTGAGATATTTTATAACGTAATCCTTCACTAAAGTTCTCCAAAATCCCTAAACGTTTGCGTTCAGAAGTCTTCATAAAGCCATTAGTTCACCGCCTTTTCCTGATTCAGGTTTCCCCTCTGCCAGTGTTCTCACAATGATTTCTGCTGCCTGCTCATCTTGCCTGGTGCTGCAATTCCATTTATCCTTTAAAAGACTATCAAAGCACTGTTTTGTGTATGTAAAACTTAAGATGATCATGTTCATATGATTTTTGTTTTTTTTTGATGGGCATATAACATAACGACACCCATGGACTTTTGCTTGAAATAGCCCAATCGTTGCAGCCCTAATGGAGGACTCCATTCACCAAGTAGGTGTCCCCTGAAGCAATTACTTAAGCATCACTGAGTGAAAGCCAGTGAAACTCATCTAGTTTTCACTTTAGTCTCAAAATTAAGAACTACTTTGTACATTATTGATCCATCTTAAGTCCCAATGAGGTACATTTTTAGTTGTAGCAAATGCTGTAGTTTACAGATTAAAGCGGTATGAATGTTTTGCGAGGTGTATTTGAATGCATATTCTAAAAGATATTCCTATTTCTGTGCAATATAGCTATTATATAACAGTATCAGCCTTTCATATCTATAATTTTCACCCATTTGAAACAAGGACGGGGGGGAGCCAAATTTAAATGTCTCTGTTCAGTCATAAACAAACAAAAAGGAAAAAAAAAAATGCAGCCCTGCTACCAAACTTTCTTAGTCTTGCCAAAATACATTGAGGCTAAATCCTTTCCTGCCTATATACCCCAGAATGCAATGCAGTTCTGATCAGATTTCAGCAAAACTATAGAAACTATAGATTCCCAGCTCCAAGTACTCTTGTGGAGTTTTGTACCAAACATCCATCTTTCAGCATTAAACTATTGCAGTTATTTGTTTTCCCTCTCTAACCTCTATCTCTTTAAGCTCTGGAGATCAGCCAGGAGTGTATGTGATAGATAGATAGATAGATAGATAGATAGATAGATAGATAGATAGATAGATAGATAGATAGATAGATAGATCTTTTCATTCTATTCTTGTTTCACTTTATGCCTCACTTGGTATGAACTTCCTTGCAGCAAGGACAGACCCGATCTCAATAAACTAGGAAATAAACCCCAGCAGTAAGTAAGAGCAAATCATTTAAATTCAAAAGACGGCTGAGAATATGTTGTTGTCAGGGAGCAACGTGAGATATCAATGGAGGCTGCTTAGAGAAGAGCTCTTTCACAACAAAAGCATCTTTCCCATTATTCACCACATCACTTAAATTCACGAAATTCCTAAGTTGAAAGTTGAAATGAGGTAACATAATTTCCAACCTGCTGCCAGAGCAAAATTGTGTTTCACTTTTGTGTGTATCCAGATATGATTAAAGTTGTTGCTAAATATCCAACACAGATTGACTTGCCTTATTGTGCTTTAAGGGATGGCATGCATGACAATTTAGAAATTATGTTTGGTCAGAAATTTAAAGTATTTAACAGTTTAAACAGTTGTGTTTGAAAATAATGATGTACATAGTTGGGTTTCTTTTATTAAAGTGGTCCCTTACAAACCATCCTTATTGTGTGCAAAAAAGCAAACGTTTTTCTCTGCATTTACGTACCAAGACCTAGAAAGCAATCTACTTGTTGTGATGGGTTTTTTTTTTAAATAAAATTCTGTGGGTTTGAACAATTTTGGAGCCATATCAATATAGACTTAGACAACTTTTATTTACATTTTGTATACACAAACTGTATACAAAACTAAATTTAGTTTTGTATATCGAATTTTCGATTTGTGTAGCTTTCCATTACATTTCCATACAATTTCCACTTCATTATCATTATATGCATCAAGATACAGTTGAAGCAAATGAGAGAGAAGTGTTCTGTGATGCTTTTTAATGAATGGCTGGTTGTCGGACCTAAAGTGAACGTCTGTTTAAAAAAATAAAATAAATAAAAAAAGGTCCAGATTTCAAGGCTTTGATGCAAACTGACAGGCATCATTGGATGCAGGACATCCTCAGAGCTGATCCTTAGGATTTGCAAAAATCCTTTAATCGTTACCAGGACCTGAACTGTGTCCCTCTTGTTGACGCTGCCAGTGCTTTACTTCTGCTGCTTTCACACTTTGGCAACCTGCTGATGCACACAAGGCTCTACTAAAGCTGATGTTTACTGTCAAAAATCATTCTGGGTTGTAGTTGTGCATCCTGCCCCCTCCCTGTAGAGTTCTCAGCATTGTATGCAAATCCTCAAATCAACATGCACAGATTCTATTTAATTTCACAGCTAGTAGAGTGTCTCTAATCTCATCCAACCATTTGGGTGTTTGCTTTTCAAATCTAATGAATGTTTTATTTAATTATTATTTTTATTTTTTTTTAAGGGAAGTAGTGTTGAGGAATATTTGTTTTCTTTTGCCAACTGTTAAGAGTCTTCTGTGTTTATGTCTATATTAAATTACATTTGCTTTGTAACAAAGAGCATAGCAGCATAGTAACATAACAATGGAACCTCAGAATGCAGGATTTTAGTCCCATGAAAGAGTTAGAAATATTTTTTTTTTTTTATTACAGTGATATGGATATGTCGGCCACAGAAGGAAAGTCCGGTGACCCAGATATTTGTCTTCAATCTACAGAGAAAATTACTACGGTATGTTTTTGACCTTTTTTCCCTGCACTTTAAACAAACTACACTGTAGGGAAACATAATCCTAGCCATGGGTAAGCTTACCTGTATTATTGTATGGCAAGTTTCTAAAAGTAGAATTTTTCAAGACTACTTGATAATTTTTAAGTAAATAGCAAATTAACCCAAACACAAAGTAATTTAATGAAACTATCCATAATTCTGAGATAACACGGCCATTTAGAATGTTAGGTTTATGCCAAAAGGAATATTATTTAATGTTGGCTTTATTCTTTCATTCTCAGTCTTAAACAATTTGGTGTATTACAAAATAACCTTTATTTATATCAATTTATTTTTCAAATCACTGACTGAAATTATCTGACGATACATTATGCTCAGGGCCGTATACTGTGATTTTCATAATAGTTGCAAAATTGTGTTTGTATTTTAAGACTGTACACAGGTTACGAAATGTCCCAGCTTCTTTTTTTATTGCTTGTCAGTAAAACACAACATTAACACTGCCTGAGTGCATCCACATCTGCCTCAGAAAATTTAAACCCATCTGTCTGACTTAAACTTCAGCTAGGTTAGTTTCTCTTACACTCCAGACTTGCATGTACAGGTGTGACCAAGAGATTTTTGGTCCAACATGTCCTACAGACTGACTACAACTACCATGCTTTTACGCAGACTTCCCCAGACTTGAAATTGGAGTTTAAACCACGGAGTGTGGCCTTTTAAATTTTGTTGTGGTAAATGCCATGCCTTTGAACAGTTTTGGATGTGACCCCCAATATAAAAAAATTATCTAAGAGCCATATTGGACCAATAAACAAAAAACAAATCTGTCTGGAGCCGCAAAAGTGTAAAAATCTTATATAGTATAAAGTTCACGTACCTGCATCAGAGCACTACCCGTTCGACCAGTTGATAGTTTTCGATGCTTCCAACAAAACTAGCAGCTGTAGAGAAGTTTGGAGATGCAATCCAGTTCTTAATCTATCTTCGCTCTCCTGTAATTTATCCAGAAGTTCTGCAATCACACATTTCCTCTCAATCCCACTTTCTGGATACAAATACAAATATTTTAGCAGCAATGTCAAAATGTATAGCTTTTGTTTTATTCTGAGTTTTCTTAACATAAACTAGTTGAAAGAACTGTGAAATCATCACTTTACTGCTTTTACTGATTTATCAAGCCTTGAGAAATCTATTTTGGAAAACATGTAGTTAAGAACATCGGAATTGGATTTAAAAGTGTCTGCATTTACTGAGCAATTTCAACAGCTAGCTCACGTCCAGTTTTGTCCAGTGAGATTTATGAGCCATGAAATGTTCTCCTCCATTGCCTGTTATGCATGTTTATTATGCATATATTCAAACCCCTCCATATTTTTTTTCAGGGGTTTAAATGATACTTTGTGAAAGTACAGCACATTGATTGCACTTTGTTTTCATAAATGTAGCGTGTAATTCCTCACTTCATTTCCCCTCATTTTGTCTTTGTGCATTCAAATGTAATTGAATGCATAAATAAAGGTTAGCCCCTAAAGTGAACTGAATTAAATTGGTTCCTTCTCAGCTGTACCAGAAAATTGTAATAACCTGGATAAATCATGATTTGTTTTGTTTTTTGGCATTTTAAAAGTTTAAATTTCCCTTCTTTTTTTCTCCTTTTCTCATCCACCTACACCACATAAACTAGGCCATTCCTAAAAGAGATCCTGTCCCTCAAACACTTTTCCAGTTGGGCACAGATGCACTTCAGGGTCAAGGAAGCATCTGGGATGGCCAGGAACAGGAGAGGGACTCGTGTCATAAATCAGGGCCAGGGCTTGTGTCTGAAAGTCTGCAGAGGACAGCTCAGAGTGGAGCTGGTGTAGCAAGTTCTGAGAGGGGGGACGTTTCGTCGGGGGATGGCAGCCTCCAACAGACATGTGTCCTGGGCCCTGGTGATGGATGTGGCATGAAGCCAGAAGGGAATGCTAATGAGATCCAAGGTGTCGACGCAGAATGCTATAAGGGGAGACCCTTCTCTGGTGGGACCTCATTAGGCAGCATGTCCCTCCTGCAGAAAAGTGGAGGAAGTAGTTTCTTGTCGGTCCTCCCACAGACCAACACTTATTCTCAGGCCAACAGAAAATCACTTAGCAGTCAGGTGGCCTGCTGTCCACCTAAAGATACAGCTTTCCAGGACCAGTACAGTAGCAGTGGGATGGATGAAAGTGAAAGTTTGGGGGAAATTAAAGGAACTGCAGAAAATGCAGGTAAAAAATCAATGTTAGGCTCTTTGTTTGGCAAAGTTTCCTGTTTTGTTCTCGGTGCACGGCAACTCCTTAGGAGGTCTCCTGCAATTGTGCACAAGTTGACAACTGCAAAATTACAACCTGTTGGTGTCTGCTTGTCCAGTCGCATTCTATCTATAGTGAGGGACAGCTACATCCTCTCCAAGGTTGAAGGGAGCTTTGCTTTTTCTCTCATCAGTAAGAGTCCAATTTTCTCTGTTGTGAAAGCTCTACCTATCATACAGCACATCCAAATGAATATAACTCATCACCTTCAGTCCAAAGAGGCAGCTCTTATGATTCAGGACTGCAATAATCTCAACAAGCCCTCACAACTCTCACCCCTGATGCTACAACAAACCGTGACTGAAAAAATGGTAGATGGGCTTCAAATCTCAGAGGATTTCAGCAAGCTGGATTTGGATTCGCCGAAAAAGCGAGTCGAGAATAATATTCAAATAAAACAAGACAAAGTTATTCTAGAGCCTTTGTTGCCTAAACAAACACTACCTGTGCCTTACAGCAAAGGCTGCGAGACTGAGGTTATCCCAACACCTGAAGCTGTAGATCAAGCAGAAACTGTCGACATCTACATTCAAACATTGATCAAATTTCCTAATCCACTTCTAAAGCTACAGACTCTATCACTTAGAGATCTGACAGGTGTTTTACAATCAGTCTCTCGTTTAGAACTTCCCTCCCAGAAGATCATAGCACTCCACTGGTTGAACATAGCCAAAAGTAGTGAACCTGATCCCCAGCCCGGCCTCCTGATTCTGACAAAAATGGGTCTCTACACGCTGACTGCCAGCTCTGGGGCCATGGTCTTGTTCCATCACCTCCCTTTGTTGCAGCTGAGGGATATACGGATGGGCTTTGCTGGCCAAAGTTTACGTTTAATGGGCACAACAGAGGAAAGCATCCTGGGTGTTTATGCCCACAGCCAGAAGCAAACCAAAGAGCTCTGCTGGGCCATACTGAATGCTCTCTGTTGTGGGGACAGCAGAATATATCAGTACCGTCCGCTGAATGAAAACTTGATGAAGTTATCCCTAGCCTGTGATTTCTATGCACCTGACCTGCAGCTGAACTCTGGTTTAAAGCTTTGCTGTCGATTTCAGAAGAGTCTTACTGATCTGCTTTATCTTATCTATTGTAATATAGATGAAGAGGGAGTCAGTCTTGGAGAGTTGAAGCTATTAATGTACACAAGTGTGTCTGTGCACATGAGCTGCCAAGTGCATAGTGAACAGCTGGCCCAGTTCTTTCTCACAGATACCCATCTTGGTCTGGCAAGAGAGGATGTTGTGTTCCCAAAAGCAAAGTTTCCTCAGTTTGACATTTTAGCTCTTTGTCGGTGCTCAGATGTGCGCTGTATACTGGTGCACGATGAAGACGGCAGTGGATTTGTCAGGCTGGATGTTGTTGTTGCAAAAACAAAGGCCAGGGGTCACCCTGAAAGCGTGAAGATGCCAGTTACCCCACTAGAACATCCGTTCAATTCATCTCCACACTCAGAAGTGTGGAAATTAACTTTCAGTTGCACTGCAGAGGCCACCTGCCTGATTAATCACTTGTCAAATGTCTGATCAAGGACTGAACGGTCTGTAATGAACAGCTAAGCTTGAAAACTCTCACTTACTGGGAGCAGTGGCAAAAAGGGCATTCTAACCAGACACTGCAAAGGAGGAATTTTCTACTGAATGAAAGTAAAAACAATGTCTTAAAGTTTTCCCTTTTTATATTGTTGTCATAATGTCACATGGCTCTTGCACTCTGTTTTTTTCTTTAAACTCAATCATTTTGTTGTTGCAATGATTATTCACTGTTTGGTTTGATTTGCAATTTTTTAAATATTTCAAGTTTTGGCAAGGGTAATCAAATGTTGTGTTAATTGCTTTTGTATTAATATTGTTTTTATGACTGATAAGATGGAAATTAATGTAACATATTCTGCTGCTGTGTATTATATGAAATATGTTGGTGTATAAAATAAAAGTTAAATGTTCTCCTAATAAGAGGTTTATCTTTATTTTTTACTTCTGTACTCAGGATGAGCTCTGATAGTTTAGCTTTTAACATCAAAACAAAGAGAATTGAGTCTGAATCCCATCTTCTCAGTAAAGCTTTTTGCTTTCTACCCGTCTGTCTACTTTCTTCTCTGATAAGTTACCTAAGAATTGTTTTTTTACTTTGAGCCTCTTCCTTAGTCCTTTCTGACATTAATCTGTGATAAACTCCTGATGTTGAAACTGGCTTTGTTGAAAAGGTACACATTCTTGGTATTCTGGGTAAATATTCAGTGCAGGTCAGATGTATGCATGCTGGAACTCTTATTAGTTTGCTTTTAAAAGAGCAGTACACTCTCTGTCCTCACACTTCAAAAGTATAGCACAAGGTTGTCAATTGTTTTTACTAAACAGTTGAGCACATTTTTTTTTTTTTTTTAAACCCTTTTTTTTTTGGCATAACCAATGAGTTTTCATTCAGGTTTAGGTCATTCTCTGAATAGGCTACACCTGTGTAGATGCTGGTGTAGGTGTTGGTCTGTGTGCAATGCACTCCAGTAGATTTGTTAGACTTACTCCCGTCTGCATCCGATGTCGGGAAAACTGCGGCGGCTTCACAGCACAGTGCTTGATGGGGAAAATGTGGGTGATTGCATCTAAGCATGTCCTCTCCACCCTTTAATTTCAACATTACTTTTTTTTCCAAAATGCGCATAAATGGAAACTCGAACAATAATTCTGTGGCATATCTGTTCCAAGTATTTCTAACAGGCTTAATGGGCTTTTTAGATAGAGGCTATTAGTTGTGATGAATGTAAAATCAATTAATTCAAGGTATTATTAACAGATTTACCAGAACTGTGAGTTACTTCAATACTTGCTGTCTCTGCTATTGAGCTCATATTTGACTTTGGTTTTTCAAAGCAGAGCGATATCTAAAAGTTACAGGACAATAGCCCTCATGAATTGGAGTTTTAAACATTAGACCCAGTCTAGGCTTTGAAGCCGGAAATGCATAAAGTTGGAGATAATCTCTTTGAATGCTTTTTACTTTCTGAGATTTGAGGTGAGGTTAAAGAATGTACAGGTCACCATCAATCCTATTTATTTTATATGACACAATGTGTTAAAGAATTGGCATTGTTGGATAGGTTATATAATGGTGGGTATCCAAATCTTAATCTGTGTTGCTGGAACATTCTAATTATCCTAGTTACAGACTACATTATCAAATCGGGGAGGGTTGGTCGACAGATTGTACATTGGGCCGAGTTGTTTCTCGTATTTCCATTGTTGGGTTTTATTTTTTTTACTTGTTTTAAGTTTAAAACGAATGATATATGGATTCAAAATGATACAATTTTATTTGACAAATTTATTTACATGTTATATCGGATTTCATTGTATGTGTTGCATAAAGCATTGAGCAAGAGCACAGCTTAAAGGAAACATTCAATTCAATTTATTTATATAGAGCCAATTCACAGCATGTCATCTCAAGGCACTTTACAGTTCACCAGATCATACAGTCAAATTGGTTCAAAGTTTTCTATCTATGGAAAATCAGTTGATTGCATCGATTCATTGACTGGAATGCAATCCCTCACATTAAACATGCTTGTAGCGACAGTGGAGAGGAAAAAAACTCTCTTTTATAAGGAAGAAACCTCGAGCAGAACCAGACTTGGTGTGAGCGGCCATCTGCCGAGGCCGACTGGGGTTCAAGGAGACAGAAGCAGAGATGTAAAAAGGCGGCCCGGACCAGGAAAAACACAGCCAGGCAGACGAGCTCCGAGCCAACTCCCATGTCAGAGGATGAAGAGAGCACATCCAGCCAGTCACAGTCACATTGCTTGTTGGTGTCTTCTTTCTTTCCACTTGCACACAATGGCTCAGAACCAATGAGAGCTAAGGAGACCCTCAGCATGATCCTGCCACCCCTATCATCATTATTACTAAAATGTTATTTTTCGAAAGACAAACTAAAACATTCTTTTGTTTTTGGTAGAATAGCCCAGTCTTTATTCCTTACCATTAAACACTTTTCCTGAAGGCCTGTGGTTTGTAGCATTGTTTGTAGTGTTGTAGCATCTTCTAGCTTTGACTGGTTGAAGCCTTGATGGTTCCTTGTTATTCTCGACCAACCTCTTTAAATGAAGACCAGTTCTGCTATGTAGAGTTGTGAACAATTTTTTTTCCGTAATCTGAAGGTTGTAATTGGTTTGTTACTGGGATACAGCTGGCTCCATGATTATAAATAAATTCAAAACTGGATTTTGAATGGATAAAAGCTGTTTGACATCAAGCCTCTAGAATCGTATTATCAAAACCCAAACTCCACAGTATCAACACCTCATGGGTAATGCCTGAAAGCTGTTGGTGAAAGAAAACCAACCGGTTTAGAGGCTATCTACAAATTCTGCAATGAAGAGCTGTCAAAACTTCAGCTAAATTATTATGAGAGACTTCCTGATGGTTCCAAACTTGAGGTGCAACCTCTTGATAAAAATATATACAAAATTTGTAAGGCTGTATATATAATGTACACTGTTATTTCAAAGTTGTGCACCTACTTCTGTGTTTGGTGAAATGTTTTTTTTTTTTTTATTACATGATTTGTCTAGTGAACAGCTTTTACTAACAAGTAAATACACTGATTTAAAATAAATCCAATGTCTGAAAAGATTCTGCCTTCTCTTCTAAAATTTGAGATTTGAATCCATTTTTCATGCAGTAGACCCATTTAAGTCTTCTCGTTTTCCTGACTTGCTGACCCCTTGAACATAGTAAATTGCAGGGGCAACCCAGTCCAATCAGTCCTCTTGTCTGCTGCTCAAGCATGAAGGATGCAGATCTGGCCTTGATTTGTAAAAAAAAATAAAATCTCACCTTGCAGCAGTCAAGTCTCTCACAGGATGGAAAAAAAAAATACGATTTTGTCATTTTCCCTCTTAGATATTACATTAACATTTTTACCATTTGTGTTGAACTTTCTTGAGTGAAAAGCCAGGTTCACAACTTTATAAATTATATGATTAAGTGCTTAAAAAAGCAGGCAAGGCATAACTTTTTATATCTTATTTTTTGGGGGTGGAGGGGTATTTCATTATAAATGGCATCATTAGACTCCATACATATGGCATCTACTTTGTGTCGCCTTATTTTAGAGTTATCAGAATTAAAGTAATTTATTGGGTGTTTTGATGATTCATTTAGCAGTTTTGTGCACTAGTTTGGAATAATACAACTTCATTAAACTTAAGAAATAATCTTTTATACAATGTATTATCCATTGTCCACACTATGGTCAAAACTAGACATACACACTCAAGTACATACTATACAGTATATCACCAGTGATATATGGTTGAGTAACTGTTGCACATCATAACAAAGAGGAAGTTTATCACACATTTCTTTTTAGATGTTTAACTGTTTTTGTCGGTTATGGAAACTTGATTTTCATTGGTTTAAACTTTTTTTTAAATTTATTTTACAGCAAAAAAAATCCAAAATTACTACATGGAAAACACATCTAACTCCTGCTACCATACAGAACGGGCAGAGCTGATGCAAAGATCCACATTCTCTATTAACCAATTTGATAGTTTTGCAATGAGCCAGGAAAAGGGTCTCAAAGTTGTAATTTTCAAAATGCTTGTCCATTTTATTAAAATATGTTTAAGTTGTATCTCAGATGCCATTTCCCTGAGTCACTGTTCAAAACTTGGAGCACAATGCTTTTCTGCAACTACCTTAGTTACAAAGCTGCCTGCAAGTCAAAGTTAAATTCCAGGCTCTAAGACAGAGGTCACGGATTAGCCAACCGGATCCAGACCCACCTGCTGGCTAACCCGAACCCAACATGATTTAAAACATTTATAAATTATCGCATGTTGTCCAATGACCGTGTCTAACTTCACTTGCGCCACTTCTGTCAATATGGTAAAGCCATCCGGAGCGCTGAGATCAGGCGACACATGATACACTTTAGCCAATGAGGTTTGTCAGTTTGAGTCACTGCTGCGAGCTACTTTTAGACACAGCAGGCAAACCTGTGGTAAGCCTGGTGGTGGGAAAGAAGAGGATGAGAAAAACAAAGCAGAGAAAGTGTGGACTGCTAGAAGAACTGCGGTGAACTAGTGTGCTCAAAGATGACCCTGCACATTTTGAGTAAGTTTGGCTCAACCTACTTGTGTGAAGCAGGATTCTCCACCATGAACATATTCAAAAATAAATATCGATCCAGGCTCACGAATGAGCATTTTGATATGTGCTTGAGAATGTCTTTGTCGCCATTCAAACCCAGGTTTAAAAGCCTTGCAGGGCAGCCTAAAGCCCACTTCTTTCATTAAGCCATAAAAAAGAAAAAAACGGTCAGTTAAGGTGTTTTATAAAATATGTAATTCAGGAAATTGTCTATATACCAAACTGAATGATTTTTGTTCTCTACTTCAAAAAACACTTTAGATTTTAAAATGGAAAAATGTTTTATAACTTTATGGAGTAAAGTTAAGGTTAAATGATGCATGATAGCTAGCCTGATCTCTTGAATGCAACTTATTAGAATTGGGGATGAACTGGTAAAATAACCAATTTTATGCTTTCATGGTAGCTAAACAATGAAGTTGACCTAAACTTCAGCTGTCAAAAGGAGTTTCCCTGATGCAGTACCCACTCATTACTCTACCAGACAGTTTCTTGCCAATGACCGAATTCAACTAAATGAGAAAAGAATAAAGGAGTAAATCATAAAAATCCAATTAAAATTAAAATGACTCAAATTGGGGAAAAGTTAAAACTATTAAATGTGATTGATTTGATTGATTGCTTGACTATATGGATCTCACAGTGGAGAAATGTACTTATTACATCAGCTCAAATGGCCAAAAAGAGAAGAAGGTGGATGGGATATATAAATTGCATACAGTTTTTTTTTTTATAGCAGTTATTATACAGGGTTATTGCACAGGGTGAATACATGGGTATTTATATAGATGGATATTTGTGTGTATATATATATATATATAGATAGATAGCTATTGCACTGTCAAA